TTACTTAAATTATTACTACACACACTTTAAGAAATATATCCATGTGTGCTTCAGCGTGCAGTTAACTGTGTACTGCAGAAAAATTCAGCGGAGAACGTCATATCATATGTATTTGGAGCAATTGTGGAATTGGAAATATGCGACGGACACAAGTCTCCTGTAAATTGCGTTATCCCGTATGCAAAGAAAATTTTCTGGCTTGAATGAATTTAATATATTTCAGTAAAGAAAGCCCTGGACTTCAGCAAGAAAGAGCTGTCAATGCCTGATCGTTAACTTATTTGGAGCTATCGTAGAGTTAAAATTCCGATGTTAGCAAAAGTCTCTGGTAAATTGCGTTATCCCGTATGCAAAGACAGTTATTTGACCCTATCAAACAATACATAAGGGACAGAGCCCTGAAGTTATATGCGAAAATTGACAGGCTATCCTACTTACCACTATCTAACCTTAGAGTAATCACTCTCCACACGGGGAGGTACGCAGATCTTAAATCAATCACTGAATAATCATGAAGCTTATAGGCAATACATAACTTAGTCAATGAGATGGCTGGGACCCTGTAGTATCCTCAGGTATCAAAGAGTAAAAGTCCCCAGTTGTACTGACTGGAAAAAAAGGATCAACGTACTTGAACGAGAAATTGAAATAAATATATTTTAGTGATAAAAGCCGATGACTTCAACAGGAATTAGCGTTCAAAGCCTTATCGTTTATTTGTTTGGAGTAATTGTAGAATTTAAATTACGCTGATAGCATAAGTCTATTGTAAACTTGCATATCTGATGTATGTATTCGTTGTATTGTAATGATGAAACTGCTGAAGTCCGTGGAAAATTTCATATAGCAAATGCTTTTGAAGCAACTGAATAACTTAACTTGTGTTTATAATTTAGATATATAGCGTGTTTGCATCCGATATTTTTAATAATTTTTTTGACATGAAAAATGAACTCACATCCCATAAATTTCGCACTGATAAAACCAATGACAGGAATATAGCATTTGTGAATATAAACTGTCTCAATTTGTTTCTAAGTTGTTGATAGATATTGGATAGTTAATAACTTGGACTATCTTGGTATCTATAGACCATTGCAAATCAAATGGTGAAACCACTGAATATTTCAAAGTCAGGATTGGCAACACAAGATGAAAGATGTGATTTGTGATGATGATGACTTGTTATCAATATTCAATTGTGTTGACATACAATAATGCCAGAACTTAATGGAGTGGCATTGTACAATGAAAAACTCGTGTTTCATATTTATTAAAAGTGGATTTGAAAAAACCACATAAAAAAAAAAGACAATCTGTAAGAGGCCTTGAGTCAGCTTAAACCTCTCATTAAAAACGATTTGGTATATGCTAATCTAATGTAAATCTAATAAGATTTATTTTAAGAAAAGTTAATTTGGTGTAATAAAATGTTTATATATAAGCAAGCTATCAGTTCAACTTTGCTATTTGGTTGTGTAGCTTTTAATAAGGCAGCTAAAACCACCCATTAGAAACTGCAGAAGTTTCTAACTTTAAGGAATATATTTGAATTTCCTAGATATACCTGGAACTTTGATAATCATAGAGTTATATCTGTAAAAAACATCACAAAGTACATAGACGTTACTGCGTCCAATTTGACGTAGCAGAATAATGTTCATTCCAAAAGTTCCGCAGCTACATTAAGAAGAATTTTGGCGATAGAGTGAAGTTTTTCCAACACCCGTTCTATATTACTTTAAGTATAGTGAAGTATCATAAATCTGCAGACCGCCTGATTTTTCCAGAATGAATCGAACTCACATTGTTTCAAATTACTGTTCGAAATTTACAAAATTGAAAATAATTATTTTAGGTATTATATTGGTACTCCAGCAAAACAGTGAAATCTAGTTTATATCTAATGCTTTGCTCAATGTATGATGGGAGTACATAACCAACGGTTTTTGTCTAGGGAATGATGCATATGATGGATAAGAACTATTTCTATAAACACTGAAATCGAAAATCAATGTCTACCCAGGTTAAATATTAGAAAAGAAAATAAATGTAACACACACTATATAAAGCAGATCTTTAGATGATCCAACTAATTTATTCTTAATCTTATGAAGAAAGAAGTTAAAATTCTAGTAAGTTTTAATATAGAAGAACAGTAGAATACTACATCATTTAAAAAACTAAAAAAGAAGTGCCACTCACGATGAAAGGAAATAGTTTCGATACTGTTCTTGTAATTGAAAACGTTTCGATCCATATAGTCTGTATTGTCTATTTGCTTAAATGGTCTTAGCCATTGTAAGTAGTTTTTTTGTTTCTTTTTTTTTTATTTTTTTATAAATGCAACTATAAAAATCATAATAAATTATAAATATAAATTATAACTAATGACAAAGAGGAATGTATTCAATACATCCCGAATATATGATGACGGAGTATTAAAGAGTATTAAATAGATGATGGCGAAGGAAAGAAAATAAAGCTTTCAGAAATGTAAATTCATTACAATGAGAACCATTTTCTTCAATTCTAAAGGAATTATTCATAATTATTATTATTTACGAAATTATTCTAAATCGGGAAATCTTCCCATTCAAATTGGAATAGTGTGAGACTTAAACCTACTAAAACCACCTCTTAGGAATGAATAGAGAAGATTTTCATAGCAGTGTGGAAACTTCATTCGAGTGATCATAGGAGAGAGATGGGAGCAAATAGGCTTAATACACGTAGTGGTAAAAAAATTCTATATAATGTTAATTATGTAATAGAAATTAATAAAAATGTTTAAAATTATTTTTGTGTTTTACTTCCAAAAACTGATTGTTTAGTAGTATTAAGTCATTATGACAATTTTATTAATGAGAGAAAATCTATGTGAATCAAATCATTGTAAAAGTCATATGAATTTTAGCCTTTGTATTTGAGATGTTAAGTTTTATAATCCTATAAAACATTTGTGTATATTATTCAAATATAATAAAAACTGTTCAAATATAATGTACTATTTTAGAGATCATCTTTAATTAATTTATATATTTCTCATATATACTTTTATATATAACTTTTATATACATACTTTTGATTTATATAAATTTTACTATATATAACTTTTTGAATATATTTTTTTATCTATAAAAATTTTTGCTAATAATGCTAATAATTAATGCTAATAAAATACATATTTGGCAACTCGAAGTCGTGAATTATTTGATATTATCCTATTATCCCGTTCGAAAATAAATAAATTTATAAATGCAGTATTGAATTCTATTATTTTATATTAATAAATTAATTTTTAATTCGTAAATATATTTTAGTTACAAGTAACTAAAATATTTTATTGGTATATCTTAAGAACTTTGGTTTTCTTTGTATAAAAATCGAACCTTTCCTTATTAAATTTCATTCAAATTTAGTCTTTCCATATTGACAACTAAAAATATTCTCTCGGATCTTAATTTATAAATAACATAAAAGAAAAGCTCTTTTCATACGGCAAAGTATATCCCTAATTAAACATTTATTCTCGTATGCATACGCAAAAGAACATCAGTTAATACAGAAGACAAACCGAACTACACAGTGTGTGTATGCTTGATGTCTCCGAATGCGTAGGGAAACCCACATCTTCTGCAATAAGTCTAAGTCATTGAAAAAGGATTTGTCAAAATTTACTTTGGGGAAATAAATTCACATGTGCATGAAATGTAATATTTTAACTTATGCCTTCTTCTTCTTCTTCGGGTTTCTTCTTTCCGAAAGACTACAAATTTTTTGTTTTATGTTTACTTGAGGCTTATATTGTAAAAGGGTAATTAAGATGGATTTACGCTTGATGATTAAGGCATAACACGAGTATATTAATTAGGATACAATATTAGGTTTTGGCTTAATTTGAAAATTCCACTAATTTGATTTTTATTTGGAAGATTATAAATTTATCAAGAGCGGCTGATAAGTTGTGAGGTTTTTGGTAAAGTTTCGACAAAGGACATTGACTGTTAAAACCTAAACGCGTTGCTTGTTTAAAGAAAGGATAAATGTAGTTGAAATGGAGGAGTTATGTGTATATATCAAATATTAGTGAGTTATTTAGTTTCATATTTAAAATATCTGATTTGTTATTTTAAACTTAATTATTTCAACAAATAGTGTAACAGTGTAATATCGTGGTGTCCGTAATTCAGCGGGAAAATGCTTTAAATTGTTTGCTAAGAATTTTGACCAAATACATATATAAAATACCGCAAATAGTTTGTTTGTCTACTTGAATATGGATACATCATGGTCTACAATCACCGATGCCACATACAAGGGCGCTCAACTCACACGTTTGGATGAAGGAAATAGTTTATTCCTCTAAAGGACTAAAGTAGCAGAATTTGAAGTTATTCATATGTGTGAGTTTTGCTAGTTTGTTTGAATTAAGTTCCAAACGTTGTTGTGGTGTTTCCCTTTCTCAATATATACACTATGTTATATATATAGTTACATACACCAATACTCACACATATACGTGTAGTGCATATGTTGACAATTTAAAGTTACGTGACGCCGCAAACCAACACAGTTGAAAATATTTCCGTGCATACGTCATAAATTCTTTTCGCTATATGTGGTAAGGACATACAATATATGTATGGGTGTGTAAGTTTAGTTGTAACGTCATCTGTCACGTGCTTTAAAGGTGCCATTAATCATTTATGCCGTTAATTAGCAATTAATAACGATTTGAAACTGTAAATTTATTGTTTTATGTTTTCCTTGCGTTGCGTTTCGTTTCATGGTGACGTTACGTTGTGTTACGTTATGTTAGGTTATGTGACGTTACGCTATAATTATTTTGGCTCAAATTGTTTTTAAAATTTTGAAGACATAAATTACATAAACGCTTAATGTGTCACGTGAACGTGAACGTGCATGCACTGACAAGCTTAAGCTTGTCAAAATGGTTTTAATTGATAAAACGAAATGAAGCTCGTATTTTCACTTACCGGCATATTATTGATGGTGAATCTTAGTTCAGCACGTGGGCGGGATGGTGGTGTACTGCAATTAGCGCGCAGCACATCACCTGGTTCGTAACGTACATTCTCCGTAAACAGCTGTGGACGTTTCTCTGGAAATTCTGCAATTAAATAATTAATATTAATGATTTTAGCATTTTACTACGAGAAAGGAGAAAATTTGAAATATAAGTAATAAGTTGTAGAGTTATTGTGTGTTTTACTCACAATTTAAAATAAAACTAAACTAGTATATATAAAATATGATATTTTCAAGTACAATGATTATTGTATAAAATGTGGTTCATACTATTTCGGCACATATTTCAATCCTTTTTGTTCTATATCTATATATTTGAAGGATTCTAATAGATATATTTAAACGTATTTCTTAAGAGCTCATCTATACTTAAACTTGAAGGAGGTACAGCCTTTGAGTAATGTGCGTTCAAACAAAGAAGTCATATTACGAGTGCTTGCTGCTTGTCAACTGTCAAACACCGTTGCATGCCAAAGTAGTTACAGGCGAGATACTTAGCTTTGTTCCACAGAAATATGTGAAAGAGGGGAAACGCTTCCATAGTAACAAAAATTAAACAAAACAAATTATAAGAATAGAAACGTATAATGAAAGATGAAATATGACAAACGTATTTGTAAGATAAAATATTAAGAAACGCGTTTACTTGCACACAAAGCGAGTAAACGCGAGGAGAAAAGTCGAATTTGTATTTTGTCAGTAGTTAAAAACAATTTGCATACACACAGTCACTTGAGTGTATATATATATATATATATATACATTCATTCGCATTCATCCGACTCATTCACATATAATTGCACATATTTAGACAGTCGCTTAATTCAAACTGTGCCATAACGCATGAGCAAGTCTTTGACTCCAATTCCAAACCCAAATCCAAATGTAAATGCGACTCATTCGGAATACAAATGTGAAGATTCCGTATGCGCTCCTTCATTGTGAGTGGTGTTGACGTTAATAGTCTGTCAGTTGGTCTTGAAATGATCGTGTGCAAGCTGCTTGAGTACTGCTACTTACAGTCGAAATGCTAAGGAAATTGTCAGTTTAAGTGTCATAATTGTTGTGTTTGACTTATGCATTTTGTATATGATTAAGATTTAAAGTTTGTAATTATAATTTTTATTTTGCAATTATGTTGTTTCACATGAGACAGGGGCAGCAAACTTGAAGCAGAAGTGAGGAATGTGTTATAGAAATCTAAATCATAATATTATGTCACTCATACGCCAAGAAGGCCAAAATGACAGTTAAGAAGTGTGTTTCGTACAAGTATTATGGGTATGTATGTATAATACATATGTATATTAATTTTTATAATATCTACTCGTAGTGTTATTTTAATCGACCTTATGGTTATGTTTTTTGTTTCGCTATAATTTATACTTATAAGAGTTTTGCGTGATTCAACCACATTTTTCAAGAACACTTTCTTTAGAGCATATAAAATCGTCAGTATAGGTCTATAAGCTGTTTTTAATTTATATTCTTACGACAGTTTTCGGATAGCGTATATTTTTCATAAACTTAGTCATGGGATAAATGGGATAAAGGGATAAAGAAAAAACGAGTTGAACTAGAATACAAATACAAATATTTATATTGGTTTCTTGGGAAGTCTTCTTGGGATTTCTTGGTTTCTGTGACAACATTGAGTTAAAAGTTCGCGGTAAAGCACTGAAAACGATTACAATGGCATCCAAACGAATCAGTCAACCAGCTGTCTAATACAACTGGGTTGCTGAGAGGACTAAGCCATCAGATCTACTCTCGAATTAGTAGTCTTATAATAATTTAGATTACTACTCTATTAGCACTAAGTCTTTGCCAACTTGACAATTCTAAAACGTGTTCTGAAATATAATAAAACTGCTTGATAGTTCTTTGTACTTGAACTAGTCGTAGTCTAGTGGAACATGTATTTATATTATTGTACGTAAATAATAAAAAAAAAAAAATGGGATAAATGTTCAATACCACAAAATCCCCTCAATAATTTAAATTTTTCAGTAGTGATTTTATATTAAGTTTGATTTTAATGGCAGTTAAATAGAAACTATTTGATAGAGAGGTTTCAAATAGTAGTGAATTGCAACAACAAATATTTTTATTTCAGCTTAATTATATGAATTTATTGGTGAATTTTTGTATCATAGCGGACCATTAATTCTACTCAAGTGGGTTTTTGTGCACAAAGCCTAATATACTTATATTAGCTTTTTGTTTGACGTTTTGTTTTTACAGATAACTCAATGTTACTATCTTTTCAGATGTAATAATTCCAGTTTTATTCTTTCCAATGCTATGAAATTTTGAAAAATAGATTAGTGAGTGGTCTATTTCAGGGACGCATGTAGTTTTTAGCAGTGCCTTTAGCTCAAAAAGTATTTTTTGTTTTGGATTTTGTTGTTTGTTAACTACTCCTTAAGTAATAGACCATTTTCAAAAATTTTTTTTTATATTGGTACATCCTTTCTTGACATATGGTACAAATTTGAGCGCCATCTGTCAATTAGTTTGTTTACAGCAGCTGTTAATGTGAGACTACCTCAAATGCCTGATTTTTACTATGGAAAATTCTTGTTGTACGCGATTTTTTGACCAAACACGGCACCACTGTCATCGCTCAGGCACCATATTCGCCAGATCTGGCGCTGTGCGACTTTTTCCTGTTCCCGAAACTCAAATTGCCTTTTCGTGGTAAGCGTTTTGAGTCGTTTGAATCGGTAAAAAGATTTCGCCGAACTAAAAGCTATACCTGCACGAGCCTACGAAAAGTGTATGGAAGATTGGGTTAAGCGTTAGCATATGTGTATCGCTTCAGAAGGAGCATATTTTGAAGGAGTTAAAATAAATTTGGAATAAAATTTAAATTTGTGGGTTTCATTTACAAAATCCGAGTACTTTTTGAGCATAAAAATTACGTATTATAAATGTTCATTTTTATAAATTTATAATTAATGTTATCTCTCAAATGCTTACTTTTTCATTCTTTTGCATTTACATACACAATCAATACAATGTATTTGAACTATTTGCGGAAAACATTTCCATTTTGAAGAACCTTGAACTATATTAGACTGCAGTTTCCAAACTTTCCACCTTATTCTACAACAAAATATCTCAGCAAATAACTGTGAAGTAAAAATCAAATGATGCAAAATACTTCACTCCCTCACTTATGCAGAAAAATTTCTTTGAAAATTTTTTGATTTTAATTGCATTTGTACGTAAATTAAGCCAAAGGCAAGATTTTTGTACACTTCACTGCCACACAAAAGTCAACCTCAGGCAATAAAAGCTTTCACAGATGTCTGCTTACTTAGTGATGTAACTATGAACAGCAGTTCAACTGCCGTCAGATACTTTTTATTTCAATGTTCATAACATTTTGCAATATTTGTCAATTTTACTTTTCTTACTTCATAAACTGTACATCCTTTTCTGCTCTCATTGCTGTATCAAGCCTTCATGCCGCCAGTACTGGAGAAGCGTCTTTCAAAACTATTCACTAAGTAGACATCAGACATTTCTTCTAGTTCACCTGTGTGATGATATTAACCTTCGTGATGGCTAGCATGAATTCCTCTGCTAACTTGCTTTTATTAGGGTTTCCTATTTTCTTATTTTTCTTTCTTAATAATGAAAAGTAAACACCTGCTGGCATTTGAGTCCTTTTGTCTTTGTGCTGCTATGTCCTTTTATGACGAAATTTGTCTTTTGCGTAAGGAAATGCACAAAGCGAAGTATATGCCATTCAAATATTTTTACTACATTTTTTTACAACAATACAAAAACTAAATAGATACTTGGTTTTTGCTTAAATTATACCTTTGAGCTAGGTTAATGGTGGTATCCTTCCAATTTGCCAACAATTTTGATATGAAGCAAATCCGCTAATGATGCAACTTGTTGTGAACAATAAAAGGCGACATATTTTCTTTTATTAAATATTTACGCATGTAGTACCGGGATTAGTTCCATTTTCAGTTCTACTCTTAACTGTGGGGGAAGGCAATTGTTCTTTATAAATTTACTATTATAAAGCTAGTACTTGTGAGTGCCCAATTATGAAAATTTTTTGCATAGCGCACCTCACCTGACTGGTCTCTTAGATAAAGCAAAAAGTTAATAATGTAAATTAGTGAGGAGAATTATTTTTAATTTTACTTGGGGCAACACTTTTTGTGTTACTATAAATATTTTTTTGTTTATTTTCGCTTATAATGTCTGTAAATATTTAGAGAAGATTTTTTTAATTTTGCATATCGCCCAGCTCATCTAAATGCAAGACGTTTCCTACATTTGACGAGGTTTTTGCCTTCATTTGTAGACACATTTTCGCATACTTGAAAGGAGCTCCTTTGTTTAGATATGCAAAATGTGAAAGATAATCTTCATGTGCTTGATGTGCTCAGTATTCGGTGCTCGGTGTTCGGTTCTCGGTGCTCGTCTGCCTATTAAGGGGGCCTGCATATATTGTTCTATGTAAGTAGTCTTCTTACATGCATAGCTTTAAGTGTTGTGAATGACCTGTTAATGGCAGCCATTCTAAGAGACTAATTGAAAATATATATTTTTTCCTTTTAAACAGTTTTTTTGTCGAATCCCCACTGCAACATAAGTTCATTGCATTTAACACGTTCTTATCTTGAATAAGTATTCAAAGGCCTTTTTTTATTTTTTGAATACAATAGATAAATTTTCAGCAGTAATAAATTTGGTAATTTATTTCTAACAGTGAGAGTTAGCAAAGTGTAATTAAAATATATTTATATAATAAAAAAATCGAAAAAGAAAGAATTCAATTACTTTTATTTAGGCAAAAATGCCGGAGTTTGAATTTATGTACACAAAATTCCTTTAAAAAAGTTCCTAATTTATGTAGAATAAAATTAAATAAATTAAAAATATTTAATGTGTATTTTTTCTTTCCAGAAGTGACGCATCTTATGAAACTATTTAAAAGTTGAAAGGGTTGGAATACAAATGAAAAGACAACAACAAAAATTTTAGTTAATTTATTGAAATTTAGCTGACCATAAAACGTTGTTTAGAGTATTGCAAGGTACTGATCATCAGTGATCTTAGGAAATATTTGACTTTCTTAATTAATTTATAGTCCATATATAATTTGTTTGAATTGCAAGTGCCAGGCTTAGAGCTTGTGCCTTTCAAACTAAAAGCGATGACTCCTCGTATTATTGCATAAAAATATTCATATTAAATATTAAAATATGAAATATATAAGTTGAAAATGATGTTATTCTAACCAAATCTATGTAGCAATATTTGGAAATCCGTACAAATTATCAAAAATCACTTCAGCCTAGAGAGTTAATGAAGAATTACTCTTGTGAACAGATCTTACTTCAAGGAAAGTTGGCAATAGTGATATAAATCCCTAGAAATCTAGATGTTCTACAAGTCTTGCACAATGACCAACAGTGCTGAGAAGATGTCAGGAATATTTGAGAAAAAAAATCTGTAGAAGATCTACGATCCCTTACGTGGTGTCAACTGAGATGAAATAATGAGCTGTATAAGCTATACTGCGACATTGACTTAGTTAAGCGCATATAAATTCAACGACTTCGCTAGCTTAGTCATGTCGTGCGAATGGCAGAAAGAATTCCGGCTAGAGATGTGCTTGGTTCTGTACCCGCTGATGGAATACGAGGTAGAGAACATCTGCAGCTTCAGTGGTAGTACCAGTTGATCAACGATATGAAAGTACATGGTACTGTTAACCGCAAATTAGCAATCGGACTGTGTGTTAGCGGATGCCGTTAAGGACGACTCACGTTTTAATTGGACAATTTAGTATCTGACAATGTATTTATTATATTAAGTTTGCCGCTTTATTACTTTCTCTTTATTACTATAAAAGTTTCACGTATGCTTTAATTATTAATCGTGTTAACAGCATGAAATAAATTTATTAAAATATATCAAATATATATTCAAAATTATTAAATACTAATAATTAATAATTAATAAAAATTTGAAATTAATTATAAAATCAAGAAATTTACTCACCTACGACTTGCATCTGTGCATAAGCGGTGGCTGTAGAGAACAATGGAGCATCAGCAGTGACTTCACAGGAGAAATTACCTGACAGGCCGAAACCAACATTTCGTATGACAACCTGAGTAGCATTTGATTCACTTTCCTGCAAAATATGTGATGTTTAAAAACATTAACATAATAATAATATTACATTGTTATTATTATTTTCTTATTTTTTGGAGAAAAACAAAATAAAAACTACTTAGTTAGGTCAGTTATACAGACAAGCAAGAATTAAAGACATTAGAAGCCACATCACCTTACTTTACTTACATCAACTTTAATGCCGGGATAATGAAAAACTTTTGTGTTGGGAAATTCTCCAGGTGTGTAGCGAAAGAATTCCAATAGACCGCGATAGAATTTCACTGAATATAGCGGAGCGCCTTCCAGATTATAACTGCAACGTAGGAAAACTGATTGACCACGTCGTACGGCGGGTGGTTCGACATATAAATTGACATCACGTAGAGCGGCATATGTGAAATCTGCAAATAAGCAAAGCACAAATAAAGGATTCAAATTAGTATAAAAAGTTTTCTATAATAATTCTGGTTTTTAGATAAATAGTTATCTATATGTAGATAAATATATAAGCGAAATATAATAAATAGAATATAATAATTTACAACAATTTTTTTAATAAAATATTATTAACATGAGTATTTATCAGTTTCAACAGGAAACTGATACTCAGATGTGTCTTAAAATTCAACTTAAATAAACTCAAGATGCTATAGTTTAGATTAGTAAGAGTGATGGTTTTGTGCATTAAATCTTACTTTAGCCTGTTGTGATATCACAGCTGACACACTGATCGGACTTAAAGAACCCCCCGAAAGTAAAAGACCGAAACATTTAGTCTAAAAACACCGTCTCTTCGCTTAGGAGCGAGACTCCATTTAAGTCAAAAGTATCAACGTGATAAGTCAATCAATTTGACTATGTTTCTAAGTGTAAAGGATAAAACTCTGTCATGTTAGTAAAAAAGGGGGCTCTAAATATGAAGTATTAAAATATTTTGTCCTGTATTATCCCACAACATCCAACATGGACCGACTACAAAATTTATACATAAAACTTGGTCCATCTCTACCGACCAATAAGTTAATTTATGGCTTAGATTTACTTGTTCTATCTCTAGGGACAAACATCTCATTTGTGGCTTAGTGTCAGTCAATTTATATATCATAACCTTTTTTTCATATAATTTAAATAATATCAAAATTAATAAAAATGCTTATATTTGCTACTACCACATAGGTAACATAATTATCTAAACAACAATTATGATGTTGTTAAAAAATTTTTTGGTGCAAAAATATATGCGCTGACCTATAGACATATAAATGCTACATACAAATACATATCAATCCTTTTTGGCTTGTATTATTTCACAATTTTTCTTTCAGTACCTTAAATTGCTGCTAATGTAGCACATGTAAGCTTCTATCAAATCCTGGCAAATGCTATCAATTTCAACTTCAATTTCATAGTCTGCAATGGCACTTGGCACAAAGCATAAAAACACAACGCCCACTGCCACAACCGTGTTCAGTTTCAATCTTCCTCAAAATTGTCCATTACGATCGATCAGACTTCAACTCGGCAATATATAACAATATTGATATTGCCATAGCTGTGGATGCCGTTTCGTCAATAGGTTTGGGGTCAGTTAACTTAGCACAAACAACACATATGCCGTTGTTGGTTAATACGAAAATACCACCGCTAACAACAACAACAACAACAAGTGAATGTAACTGTATTGCCTGAAATATAAAATGGCGCGCATAAATCCATTAAGTTCGCTCCAACCCCACCAATCCTACCAATGCCACCAATCGGGTTTTTGGCTTAAAATTCATTCTTCTTCGTTTTTATTGTGCACATGACTTTCGGTTGAGCCTGCCTCAAATGTTGACAGTTTACCATTTACCTGCTCTATTCCTCCCTCATCTGAATTCGCCTATTCGATGGTTTGTTTGACTGTTGAGCTTTGGAAGGCAACCTCATGCACTCGCATCCTTTGGAGCAGCCAAACGATGCGTGATGCTAAGAAAATAAATGGTTAAAGGAATTGCAAAAAATTGTGCTTTTCTGTTGGATATTTTTATAAAATTTTTTTTTTCTGCCATACTTGGAAGCAGGGCATGCAACTGAAAATGTTAGGAAACACCAAAGTGTTATCGTTTTGGTAAATGGTGTCGGTCGATGCTAAATGACAAATGACATGTCAAACGTGAGTTCCGTTTTTTTCTTATAGAGCTGAGAACTGAGTGAGAAAATAAAAGAAATTAAGTGCTTGAAATTTTGATACTGACGGGTGAAAAGTCAAATTTTATTTTGAAATATTTGAAAATAAGCGGATGCCTTAAAGAATTTCAGTTTAATTCCTTTTTGTTTTGTTTTTGTTTGAAAATATAATAGAGATAGATAAGATAAGTTTTTCAATATATAATAAATATTATCGATTTCATATTCATAAGCTAAAGACTGATTAATTTTAGTGCTCAGTACTTTCTTGCAAAATATGGGATTTGTAAAATTAAAAATCTTAGAAAGTTTTAATTCATTCCATTAAATATTATATAACAACTGCCCTCCTTCTCATTTCCTATTATTTCCAACATTTTTGGAATTTTATGGTAACAAAAATTAATGGAAAAATATTTTTCCCATACTCCTATAAGTATGCAAATAAAATAGTTTTGCTCATTTTTCAACCGTAAGCTGTGGTAATTGCTCTTATATTGTACAGTTTATTAACGAAGGTATATATATATTACTAAGACAAAAGCTTTTTGAGAATCAGCGAAGATTCTCATTGAAATGCCGGATTTATGCGACACGACTTAGATATGTAAGTATCACAATATAATTTTTTACAATTTGAATTATTAAATTATCATTATTTATATATATAAGAATTATATAAGAATACTTGATTATTGGTTGCATTTACAGTTACTGCTCGTTTATTTCCTTAATGCTATATGTAATAGGTTTTTGTAGAAACCCTGCATATATTATAAAGAATCCAATTATATTTTCAAAATATTTAAATTAGTTATTACGCTGCCAAAAATTTGTTGAAAACAAACATCATGTCAAAAGATAATAAATGAGAATATGTTAATATCTGATAGAGTTCTTCCAGTTCATTAAATTTTTGGTATTATGCATTATATTGCCAGGAATAGGATCTTTTTTGGTTTATCCCGCTCTGACAACGCCGTTGAGCATAGTCAATATGAGTAATAAAATAAAATAAATTAGGTAGGTATTGCATATATATTTTGAATGAATTTTAATCCTGATTTTTAGTGTATTTAGTACCAAGGATCCTCCTAAAATTAATAAAGCATATTTAGAATTTTCTTATTTTCCGTATAATATTGATTTATAATTTATTGGAAATACTTTTTTTGGATTACAGTTTATCTATTTTAAAAACTGCGTATCATTGTCACCATGATGACAACAAACAATAATAATGACAGCCTGGAGATCAGAAGAAGAATTACTATTGCTAATAGGTGCAATTATAGGCTCTATCGATAAACAAAACTTACGGTTTATAGATTGCTCATCCTTTCTGTACTTCTGTATGCCGCAGAAGCATGTACGTTATCACAGAATGATGAAAAATAACTAGAAGTGTTCGAGATAGAAGTTCTTTGTAAGACTTCTTGCCCTCTACGATTTGACAAGGACTACTGCATTTGAATGAACCACGTGCTATACGAGCTTTATTATGTCATGGATATAATTCAGCTAATTAACATCCAGCGGATTCGCGGGCTTGATCATGTTGTGAGAATGAATGAAGATGCACCAATGAAAAAAGTATTTGAAATACTTTTTGCAAGAAGAAGGCGTATAAATAGATCGTGTCTCCGGTGGAGTGATCAAGTTGATAGAGCATTAATCGAACTTGATATATAAGACTAAAAATGTGCGCACACCAAAGGAGACACTTGAAAAGATTAGCTACGTTGTTATGAGCAAATAAGTAAGTAAGTAAGTGTCATTCTTCGCAGTGGGTAATTGCTGCTATGTAGGAAAAGGAAAGGAAGAAAACTCGGTTGCTGATAGTGGCTATTAAGGATAAACGGATAAATTGTCAGTAGTAGCTGATGCAGATGAAGAGATAGGAAACCAATTTATTCATAGTACTGGATATGGACTAATTAGCAGGAGAGAACAAATTGGAAAATCACAATATGTTCCTCATTACTTTAAAAGTGAGGGACTTGTCTAATTTATGATTCCGCTACATTTAGAGAAAGAAACATCTGTAATTGAAGACTTATAGTATTGAATATACTCCCCAATACACTCATCTCTTTAACCTTTATATATACTTTTTGTCACAACTAATCTACCATTCGTTCCCTGTGTTATGAAAGATAACAATAATTTCAACACACTTCATATTTTATTTCATTTTATTTTGCTGTGAATTATTTTACACATTTCGTTTCTTAAACCTTAATAATTTTATTGTGTTATAGGCTTTGACACTAAGCACCTAACTCCGCAGCAGACATAAGAGTTAACGCATGTAGTTGCCTTCAAATATTTGCAAACAGCGTAGTTTGTGTAGATTGCTGTGCTCTTTACCCTTTGAGTGCAAGCACTCCGACTATATAAAAAACATATTTGCCGCTTCTCAATTTTTTTTTTTTTTTTGCAATTTATTTCCAAAGCTTTTAAGCCTTACAACCAAAGTTTTAGGCATTTTTTGTTTTGGCGTTTTTTTTTTGTTCCTTTTTTTTGTCTCACGATAATCTTGATATCAGGCATCAGAGCATCTCGTAAACGTCAAAGACAAGTTCAGGCGGCGCAGCTCGTGACAACAGCGACGCCCCAATGCGTCGTCGTTTGCTCATGCGAATGTGGCTGCGAAGTGTAATATCCGGCTGTCTGTTCATTATAAGACAGCTGTGCTAAGCGTATGTCTGTATGCGTTAAGAGGTAAACGTGTGTTTGTTTTTGTCGTTACGCCTTTCAACTTGGCTTTTGTTATTTTCAGTTTTTATTTTTTTCATTTTTGTTTTAAGTGTGCCTCGCTTTTTATAACATTTTATTTTTGTAGTCATACATTGATTTCAGATATGTCGCTGTATGTGTGAGCAAACGCAAATATGCATAGACACGGTGGAATGAGTGAGTGTGTGTGTGCTTACTTTGCTTAGAGCGGATATGAAAAACGTATAAACTGACACACAACCATTGAGAAACACACAACAATTGCCATTTTTGAAATTGATTGTGCGTGTGAAAGTCACTTATTTATTTTTTTTGTTTTGTTTATTTTATTTGGTTTTGTTTTATTTTATTTTATTTTATTTTGCTTTCGAATGCTGACAAGTGATAAGCTGTTAAAAGTAAAATCAATATAAAAATCACTTTGTCTGATATTCTGCCGATATGAATTTATAAACTCGTTTACATGGAATGGTGCTTAGCTTAGAACGCTTAG